TCCCAGGCCTGAGCCCTTCCTGCACCCCAAACCCCCCATCCCTGGCCCCACCTCCGAGCCCGCACTTGCAACTGAAGCCCTCACCCCCTTCCTCACCCCAGCTCAGTGAAAATGAGTGAGTGGGATGGGACAGAGGGAGGGGGGATGGAATGAGAGGGAGGTGAGACCTCAGAAAAAGGGCAGGGCAGGAGCGGGACACAAGTTTTTGGTTTTGTGCAATTAGAAAGTTGGCACCCCTATCCAGATGCAGTGTAGCTATGCCCCATGAGGCTTAAGGACATGCTTACTGTTAAGCTGTATTTAAGTTGCTTTGCTGAACTGGGGCCTAAGACTTTGATTCGGGAAAGCATTTAAGCAAATGCAAGCCCACCTCTGTTCAGTTATGCACTTAGACATGTGCTTAAGTTTAAGCACAAAATGGCTTAGCACATGCTTAAAGTCAAAGTGCTTTCCTGAATAAGGCCTTTCATGAACAGACTTGGACAATGTGCTGTGTATGCACAACATGATTTTTAAGGGGCCATAACTTGATAATCTCATTGTAGTGTTCTGAGACACTTCTCACTGTGGGCCATTTCTTTATAAAATGTTTATTATCAATAATCAGATGTACTGCCGATAGTGAAGGTTAAAAATATTTTTTTCAATATTAGTGAAATTATATTTTCTATTCTCCTTATACAACATAGTTGCTGAAATACTCCTACTCAACCTTAAAAAATGGGCAGAGACTAAACTTGGTAAATTCTAGCCTGAGAGGTACATGTGTTAGAACATTAAATGCCACAAAGGGAGAGTTGTTAAAATGGAAAAGCTCATGAAACTTTAGCTATAATTCAACTGTGATTTGCTACTTTACCATTGTTTTTAAAATATGTATTTTGAATGCAGTAGGCATTGCAGTATATTGTAAAATAATTAATTATGGAAGGCCAACCTTTTTAACCTTTGTTCAACAGTTCTGAGTTTCCAACACAAGCACTAAGTCTTATAAATCATTTAAAGTTTGAGATAATTTAATCAGAGGTTAAGGAACTGATTTCATTTTCTTCTATATACGCAGGTTATGTGAGGTACTTAATCTTGATCCTAGACATGTCCTGATTGCAGAAGTAATCTTCACGAACATTGGAGGAGCTGCCACAGCTGTCGGGGATCCGCCAAATGTGATTATTGTTTCAAAACAGGAAGTGAGGAAGGCGGTATGTATTACAGTCCATTGTGTTACTAAATATAGATGCAGATGTGGGTTTATTCAGTAGTTTAGACCTTTTCCTTCCACAGACATCCATATAAGGAAACAAAATGCACCTATTTTCTTCTGCTTCTTGTCATAAGTGCTATAGGGTAAAGCTGAGTAAAATTTTTCAAATCAGAAATGCATTGAACAATGGCCTTATTTCAGAAGCAATTTTGTCCCCGTTGTTACTGAAAACGACCCCCCCCCCCCATTTTCAGGGTATTTTTTTAAACCCAGCCCTTTTTTCAGGGTCAAAATAGAGAAAGGAAGGAAAGAAGGGAAAAGAAGTCTGTTGTTGGCCACTGTTGGCAGACAGACTACTGGGCTAGATGGGCCTTTGGTCTGACCCAGTACAGCTGTTCTTATGTTCTTATGAAGTGCAGAGTCAGATGAAAAAATGAGGGATGCGGGCAGGAGAATTGAAATTGTTTGGCTTTGCAGTGAAGATTTCCCCCCCTCCCCCCCCAAAAAAAAAATTCAAGAAAAACAAACCTATAGAACAAAAGCAATTCTGAATTTTTTGACTTTTCACTTTACTGTATTTGTCAGCTCTGCTGTTGGATGATGCAAACTATGAGAATGTTTTCCCTGTGTGGGACCGGGCACAGAATTGCAAGCCTCAGGTGTTGTCAGTTATTATCTAGTTTTATTGAAGACTCAGAGACCAATCCTCCCACCCACGTAGAACGCCGCTTGCTACTAGCCCTTCCCCAGAGTACAATGGCTTGAGAGGTTTTAACTTCCTACCCTAAGTTCCAGTATTAGCGTTTCATTTTGCTGGCTAAATGAGGTCAGTGACAAAAGCAATAGGATTTACGGGGGTACTGAACAGTAGGAGCTTCAGCCACCTGATCTTGAACTTCTTTATTCACTTTACTCCCTATGATCCTCACTGCCTCTTTGTTCCTTTAAGGCTGTATAGAGCCCCTGCTCTCAGGCTTTTAGATCCCGGGAAGAGCTGAGAGTCATGTACTGCTTCTATGCCTCTTATTATAGCTCCTTTTGTTGGGAAGGAGCCCCCCCCCCGGCCTCCCATGTTTGTTTTGTAAGTGGGGTATCACAGCTCCTTAGCCTGACTTCATTATGCTCTTTTCTAACTCTCTCTTCTTGCTCTTGGGAAGGGGAGAGATTACCTCTCTGCTCACTACAGTCCTTTGGGAGATATGGGAGCAGGGGGGAAGACCGGTGTGTCATCAGCGCTCTCTCTGTCTGTCTCTCTTTCAGTCTGTCTTAGTGTTTTGAAGCAAAGCAAGGAGGGGCTTCTCTTCTGTGACTGTGGCTCTACTCCTGTGGTGCTGTAGGAGTCTGTATGGGTGGATTAGTTGTTAATGACATTCTTAGTGTCTGCATCCATGAGATATGGATTTGGGCTGGCCCCCATGGATGTAGACATTATGGATCTCATTAACAACCGCTCTACCCAGGCAGACTCGTACAGCACCACAGGGCCAGAGCTATCAAACTGTGTTAATTAATATATTTCAACTAATGTTGTTAAAAGTGTAGACAGGGTTAAATGTGTAGACATAGTTTAATAATTCTGAAAATATATTAACTTGTTGTAGTCAATATTAGGTGTATTAAAGTTTTTAAATGGGGTCACGCTAGTGGTTAAAATGTATTAAATAGCACTTATTTAATCATAGCCTCTTATGTGTGGCCATGGAGAGATATGACTTTGGCTTTTTCTTGTTGTTCTTGAAATAAAAAATAAAGGTAATTCTCAGTGAAAGTACAGTGTTTGGTTGTTCCTTATGTCAGGAGAAAACCCAGACTATACCTTTGCAATGATAACTTGCAATTATTTCTGGCCTTGGTCATTCGAAAGGTATTAGACCATAAACAATAACTGGACCAGCAGTGCTGTTTTGGCACTGATCCATTATTTAAGTCCCAGATTGTCACATGTAAGAGTAATTTTCTCTCTCTGCTTTAAAACTGCAAACTTGTTCTGAGAGAGTTTTGTGCATAAAGTAGTACATTTCATACCTTCATAAGTAATCAGAAAAAAAATCCAGCTAATATGAAGACAGTGATATATTATTTCATGAAAACAGCATATTTGCATATCTCAGTATGAAATAGAAACATTTATAGAAATTTGTATTTAGGTGCAAGAACAGATGCCCATCTGTTTTCAGTTTTGGAGCCACAAACAATAGAACCTATAAGCTGTAATTTCCCTATAACAAAGCCTTAAGGATGCCATTGCCATCTGGGAAGTTTAGGCTATTTCACAGAATCAGCAAGACCTCAAGTAAAGAATATTTGCAGCATCACATAGCATTTGCTTGACATTATGAAATCTCCCTGATGAAAATTATTTCTAGTCTCTGTTATGCAAGTCAAAGTTATTCAAACCAATTGTGCGAGAAGAATCTTTATGAAAATTCATGGAAACCTTGCAATGTGTAGTAGACACATTAACCATTTAAATTGTGTTCAGAGCTACAAATAAGAAAAAAGATATTTTTTCACTGACTTCTATGTCCAATTCAACTACTTAGATGAGTATGTGGTCTATACAGGGCTGAATCATGGCCCTGGCTGAATGGAAGTGCAGGAGAATAAAGGGATGTGATGTACAAAGTATGTGACTGAGGCTATGTCTAGACTGCCAAAAAAAAAAAAAGTCAGAAAAAGATATGCAAATTGAGAACTGCAATTTCCATATCTTTTTCTGCTTTTTTTTTCCCCCCAAAAGAGGCTTTTCTGAAATTTGGCCTGTCTACACGGGGCCAAATTTCAGAAAAACACTCCTCTTTTGGAACATCCCTTATTCCTCTCAGAGAGGAATACAGGGATGCTGAAAGAACATGTCTGCTTTTTTGGAAACTGTTTCGAAAAAGTGGACGCATTCCTTGGATGTGGCAGAGCTTTTCCTAGATACTGGAGGTATCTGGGGAAAGCTCTGCAGTGTAGACATAGCCTGAGAGAGGATGGGGCTCCATAGGGATGATGCATCTCCTTCTCATTCAGAGGGATGAGGAAGTGATAGAAAATGGGTGGAGCCTTGAAAGCTCCCCTATTACACCCATAGGTTCAACTATGCTACCACATTGGTGAATGTATGTTGCAGCAAGTAAACCCTTATGGTAACATATTCCTTCCACAGAGCAGCAGAAGAATTGAGTGGAAGACTGAAACTTCCTGGCTATGTCTAGACTGCCCCTGTATTGTGCCAATATTATGCAAATGAGGTGAAGTGTGGAATATTGCTGTGCCTCATTTGCATAATTAATGAGGCTCTGTTTTTGCGCAATAGGCAATTGCACAAGAGCAGCTGTTCCTCTTTTTTTCAGGAAGAACGGCTCTTGTGCAAGAGGGGGTTTTTGCACAAAAAGGAACGGTGTAGAAGGCTCCTTTTTGCGCAAAAGCCTCTTGTGCAAAAAGAACCTCATTAATCATGCAAATGAGGCATGGCATTATTCCACGCTTTGCCTCATTTGTATATTTTTTGTGCAAGAGGGGACAGCCTAGATATAGCCCCTATGTATTGATCTTCTCCTTAGGTTGCTCCGGTGGCAGTGCAACAATATGTAACAACTATGAGGTGGATTTGAACCTGGGATCTCTGGAGCTTAGTATAGTAGCCTCTACAGCTTGAGCTATAAAGTCAGCTGCTTCTCAGCTTGGGCTGCAGAGCTCACTTGTGCTTATCTCTTGCTGTAAGTGGTCTAAGTGCCACTACATGGGACAATGAACTACCCTAGGGATATGTCTAGACTACATTCCGTTTCTCGAAAAAGGGATGTAAATTAGACACTTTGAAATAGCAAATGAAGCCAGGATTTAAATTTCCCATGCTTCATTTGCATAATGGCGGCCGTGGGTTTTTTTCGAAACAGGGCTTTTCAATAGAAAAACGGCAGTTTAGATGGGGATCTTTTGAAAATAAAACCCTTTTTCGAAAGATCCTGTACTCCTGAGGCTTACAGGATCCTTCGAAAAAGGGTTTTATTTTCAAAAGATCCCTGTCTAAACTGCCATTTTTCTATCAAAAAGCCCCATTTCAAAAAAACTGTGGCTGCCATTCTGCAAATGAAGTGCGGGAAATTTAAATCCTGGCTTCATTTGCTATTTCAAAGTGTCTAATTTACATCCCTTTTTTGAGAAAAGGGATGTAGTCTAGATATAACCTAGGTGTGTGGGTTACATACTTCCCCTAGCTGAGGAAGCACACCCCAAGCATCAGACACCCAACTGAGATCCCAGACAAGCCCACACTTGTTACAGCCCTGGGGCAGATTTGAACCTGGGACCTCTGGCGCTTGCTGCAGGAGCATCTGTGGCTCAACTAGTAGAGGCTCCTTCACTAAGCTCTGGAAGTACCAGGTTCAGTGTGCCCGGTGGCAGTTACAAACACATTACCCATATGTTATGTTTGGAGGTGAAATCTAGATGAATGAGGGATTTTACATTTGCCTGTAATCCTGAGTGTTTCAAAAACTCTGTTGTTGCAGCTCCCCTCAGATAGCCTAGGTTACTTGCAACAAGTATGCACTCACTGTATGTGATGCAACTCTCCTCTGACATCAGCAGTTTGTCTTCTGTAGCAACACAGTCACTCACTGGTTTTCATTAGCTATGATTACGCCTTGTGAAATGATCACAATATGCCCCCAGTCCCAATTTTTCTTAAAACTCTGTGCTCTGCAATGTCCAGCCCTTTCCTGGAACATTTAGGAATAAAAAAGCTCAGTGTATCAGTGTAACTGAAGTAAAAAAGCAGTTCAAATCATACGCAGCACTGGGTTGTTTTAGAATAAAAGTAAAATAAGTAAATTTAATTATAACAACATAGGTTTTAAGTGAAATGGTTACAAACAAATGTGAAAAATATTTTCTAATGCTGTAACTGTAACACATTATTATTTAAATATTGGGTAAGTTTCTCAGCGCACACATATTCCAGCAAGATGACTGACCATCCCTCTGGTCAGGATCTCTCCACAAGGTTCTTTTGTCATCTTAGCTGAAAGATAATTTGGGATTTTTGTCCCTCTCTCTTATAGTCCAGTGAACCTTTTCAACAGATTCTTTTGAAAGTTACCCCACAAAATAAAGTCCATTCAAGTTGCGAGGGAGAAAAGTGGGAGTCTGGTGGTGAAGGAAGCCCTGTATTGCTTTCTTCCTCCACTTGTGTTTGCTATTATGCAAATTGATCTGTTCCTTTCCCCTCAAAAGCAAGTGAATGGTCTCTTGACATGTGATTGTCTATTGACTCGGATGACACCTGGCTTGAAGAGTCAATTAATCTTTTCTCAGAACCTGTTTACTCTCTCCCCAGTCTTGTCTGGTAAACACATATTAGTCTCATATTTCCCTCAGATACATATGGTCCCATGATCTTTTACCATACATACAACACACAAGAATATTAATGATCAATGTGTTATTACTTTTTTAAATGATGCCTTACAGGACACACATCAGTATAGTTTATGACTCTAATTCATTCACTAAACTGATTAGGTCATATGAAATTCTCTATTAGGTATCAGGGAGCCCTTTTCTTTCAGCCATTGGGATGTTTTTAGGTTATACCCTAACATAGAGTTTTGTTGTCTGCAGTTTCCCTCCACCCATCTTCCTTCTACTTGTATGAGGCAGTGGTCTCCTTCCTATGATATTCAGAGAATGTTAGTTGACTGCTGAGCAACTATTACTAAGTTTGATCTTGCTTGTTTTTTCTGATATTACATGGCATGGCTGATCGACACCTGGTCCTAAAAACTGTTCATAGAGTCAAAAGGAGATTGGAGCATAAGTATACTAGTCAGTGAGTGGGGAGAGTATTGAATTGCCTTCTTCTCCAGGAAGATTCTGTCAGTATTAAATGATGTTGTAGTTGTACCAGGCAATCACTAGCAGAGGCAATATACGAAAAGGCAGGAGAGGAAGTTGCCGAACTTCCTGCAACTCTTCTCAAAAGAATAAGCAGGGTTGATGGAAGAAAATTTTGGAGCTCAACAAAACACTGAATTTTAGCCCAGTTTCTGAAACACTCTGTGCTATTTGAGTAGCTGCTGTGATGGAATACCAAGAAAAAGCAAATCATTTCCCTCTGCTGATTTTGTCCACAAATCCTTCCTCCTGAGACTTTTGTGTGTCAACTCTTGTGCCTAGTCTTGAATTTCAAAGAGTATAAACTGACACTATCCCTTCAAAATAAGGATATGTATGCACAGCTCCATCTCAATTCAATTTATTTTAGCTGTCAATCAAACTTGAGAGCTGCTTATCAACTTCAGCATTTTATTTTTTTCCTGATTGCTATACTTTTTCACATAGGAAATTAATTTTGAGAGTTTCATATAAAGATATTTCTTGTACTGTGTTTTTCTTGTGAGAAGTTTCTGCATTGTTACTATTGATAAGAAAACTTTTCAGCACTGGTGCAGACATCCAAGATCTAGAGATGTAAGAAACTTTGTAAATCAAAGTTTAAGGGCTAGTTTCTGAAGTACCACATTTTTTTCTTTCCCAGATTCCCATAGCACATGACTTTGGTCTAATCCAATCATCAGAAATAAAGGGGTTTTCTGTGCTTTTTAGGTTCTCTTTTCTTCTTTTCATTTAAAAAATAGCAAATAATCAGATTTAAAGGAACTTGGATTATCTGTATCAAGAACTACTATCAACAGGATACACCTCGGTGATGTCTTTCTTTGCACTGAGATAGATAAATTGCTGTTATCACTATGAAAAGTCTCAAGTGCATCACATTCTGAGAGTCAGATGAAAACTGAAAGAATTGGATTGATTACAGTAGCTCTCGGTTAGGTACATTCTGATAATCTCCACTTGCCTTATCCCTCATTCAACAGTGTCCCAAGCATTTTATTTTCTTGGGATTGAGGATTTTTGGTTTGTGGAGCCTCAGAGTTCTTACAATTCAATACCAGTCATATTCCTGTATCTCTTCAGATTATAGAGGAATCCTGCAAACCTTCTAATGTGGAAACAATTACTACTTCTTCATTTCTCTTGAATCATGGTTCTTGTGGCAGGGGGTTTCTGTCTTGTTTTGTGATCTGAATCTTTAAAGAAAGAGGCCCTTATGCAAACATTTGGGTAGTTAGGCCCATTTTCTTGCAAAATGTCCATAATTATGTAAATATACGCAGGACAGCATGTTTGTTTTTGTGGGTAGATATTTAAAAATCTAGCCCTGTAAGTTTTGGAGATCTTTGTTTGCTCACATGGATCTTGGTAGGCCTCCTAAAAGTTTGCAGATTAATTCTCTCCTAATGTTCTCTCCTTTAGCTTTGGATCTTAATTTAAGGCCTGGTAAGTATTCAGACCATTCTTTATGATCATTTACAGGGTTGACGTAGGCCAGTGGTCTCCAAACTTTTTAAGCACGAGATCACTTTTTGAATTTAAGTGCAATTCAAGATCTACCTAAAACCCAGATACCCTGACCCCACCACCTTTGTGCCCCTTCTCCGAGGCTCTGCCCCTGCTCACTCCATCCTCCATCCCTCCCCCATTCTCTGTCCCTTTCACCAGGCTGAGGCAGAGGGTTGGGGTGCAGGCTCTGGTCTTGGATTAAGGGATCTGGAGTGTGAGATGGGCTCTGAGCTGAGCTTGGGGCAGGTTGGGTTGCTGGAGGGGGTTCTAGGTGCAGGCTCTGGGAGGGTGTTTGGCTGCGGGGTGCTTGGGGCTGGTGCAAGGGCTTGGAGTGCGGGAGGGGTTCATGACTGGGGTAGGGTTTCAGGATGTAGGCTCTGACTGGGCACTGCTAACCTCAGGTGGCTCCTGGGTGATGGTGCAGTGAGGTGAAGGCAGGCTCACCCTTGTCCTGGCCCTGCACCACTTCTGAAAGCAGCCAGCAAACTCCCCCCATCCCAAGTCCTGTTGTATCCCCTGCCCTGCCCTGTGAAGATAGGATATAGAGTGGGAGAGGGAGCACCTTGACATCAGTGCCACTCCTCTTCCTCCCCTGCCCTTCACAGCAAGCAGGAGGTTCTTGAGGGTGGAGGGAGGCAGCTCCAAGGCAAAGGGCAGGAGGTGCACAGCAATGGGGAGAGGGGCAGCTGAAGTGCTGACGCTTGATAGCCTCTTGGCCAAACCAGTCAGGATCCCCTGTCAGAGGCTTCAAGAACGACCATTAGATCCTGATCTACTGGTTGGTGACCACGGACTTAGGCAGTCTATCCAGAAAAGATTGAAGGAGTACGTCTGGAAGGCCTAATTTGTGCATGTGAACCCTAATGATTCTATGCTGCATATCTTTAGGATTTCATTTTATTTTGTGCATTCTCTATAGGTCATGTACCAGGATCTGAAGAGTCACTACATTTTCATGAAAGGTGTGTGTGTGTGTGTGTGTGTGTGTGTGTGTGTGTGTGTGTGTGTTAGAGAGAGAGAAAGAATGAGAGAGAGAGAAAGAGATACACTGCCCCTGTCATCTACAGTATTTGGACTTGGTATAGAGTGACCCCTAATCTTGTCCCATGATAGCAAATGAGAAGCAGCCTTTCTGTCTCATTTGTTCGGGATATTTCCGCATCACATATGCTTGAACTGAGAAACTTTCCGCATAGATGCTTCCTATAGGGAATATAGTGCAGTGGAACAGTGTGTGTTCAGGTGGCAAGCAAGCTGTCTTAAAATTCAGGATGCAAACAGGCCATGATTCTGCTTGGAAACATTATTACTATGTGTTATTTGCATAAAACTGCACCAAAGTCCTTTAGCTGAGGCTGGGGCACAGAAAGATTAAATAACTTCTCAAAGTCACATGGGGAGTCTGTGGGAGAGATGTGAATTGAACCCAGATTTATTTTATGCTAGTCCAGTGCTGCTGCTAATAATAATAATAATATACATTAATTATTAACAACTTCCTCACAAATCTGGCTCTATGGGGATTCCCTGTTGTCTGGATACTGCAGGAAACCTTGCTATCAGTATAACTCTTATATCTAGAGTGGAAATTCTTTGTTATTAGGAACTTTTAATAAAATTAAAACAATTTAATATAAAGAAACACTGGCTGAAAATAGGGGACAAATCTTGATTTTTTTTGGTAAGAAATAATGTGTGAGATTTTCAAAAGCACTCTGCAATTGGCTCAATTCTTCTGCCATTTAAGTGAATAGAGTTTTACCTTCAACTTGAATGGGAACAGAGCTAGACCAACACTAAGTACTTTGGAAAATCCCACGCCAAATATTGAATATGACATTATATAATATAGTCCCCTTCCACTTGATCCTTCAATGAGCCCATTAAGTCAAGGCCTCCATCATACAATAAGTAAAGAAACTCAAACAAAGACTTAAATTGGAGATAAAATATTGCAAAACATGTTCTCTTTGCTAGGTAACACTTTTGCTGTAATAGTATATTGTAGATTTTGGGACAAATTTAGGTTGAAGTGAAATTGATGCAAAAAGTCTTATTGTATTAGTAGAAGCAGGAACTGGTTATTAGTGTATAAATATAAAGGAGCTATTCTGATACACTGAAATGTAATGGAATATTTTTGGTTGGTTTGGTAGATATGAAACTTTTATAATAATAGTTTCCCTAAGTGTGGGGAAGCACAAAATATTCTATGCTTGGAAATGTACTATTGCCTGCTTTTTGATATGTGTATATAATCACTGAATTGTTAAGTACATAATGACAAATATGGTTTTTTTTTTTTTTGCAGGTAATGTAGGGTAATTGAACTGGAATTTATAATTGCATTTTTTACTCCTAGGGTCTGGATTTTGCAGCATTTACTGGACATATGTTTGTTGGAATTTGTCTTGTTCTTCTGGTCTCCTTTCCTTTCCTCAGACTACTTTTCTGGAACAAAAAGCTTTACAACAAGGAGCCAAGTGAGATTGTTGGTGAGTTAGAGCATTAAATCATATTTTTATAGCCATTGAGTTGGATAATGTTTAAAATTAAGTGAATGCTGTCTACCATAATATTGTGTGTGAAAAAATATTGGACCATACAGCCTTATACCATCTTTGAATGATAGTATTTCACTAATTAATTTGGTTTTAGTTGTTTTTTATTTGTCAAGCAATGATTTTCCTAATGTTACTGTTTTTATTTATGTCTTATGATTTCTGTATATACTGAAGGTGTGTGGCAAACTATATGTAATGTACAATGACAGTAAATATACATTATGCTAGTTATATCACCTGAAATTAATGAAGCATTTTTCATTGTGATGAGAAGCATAATTGAAAGAGGCTTACCAGCAATTTAAAAATTATTGTTGTGTGTTTAGTTTTTCTTGTGGGTCACTAATGGTTGGAAGAGGTGCGACCATGGGAAGCTGATCTAAACTACTCAAGAGAATATTTGTGCAGGATTCTCACTCATAGCATTTTATTCCCTAGGTCTAATGGTTTTTGATCCCAAGGGCAGGTATAGTGGGTTGGGGCCTAAGCTATATGTGCTATGTCATACAGCTAGTTACACCATATAGCAGTCTAAATGCTGCTTTTGGAAGCTGTTACATTTTTCTCTTGTCTGCAGCAAGAGAAGGAGTTTACTGTAGGAGCTGTGACTCTACCTTGCTGTTGTGACACTTCAGTCCTTACAATTCTTGCCAGTTTGGGGGTATTTTCTTCTGGTATGCCCCTTCCCATCTGCCAATCAGGTCCAGTACTTTTAATTTGCCTTGTAGCTAGATAACCTCATTGATTTTTGTTTCAGTGTTGTTTGTCTAATTTGATTACTGGAATTGTTTGTCTAATTTGATTACTTAGTCATTTCTCTAATTCGATTACTGGAATTCCCATCCCAGTAGGGCTACCATGCCCCGGCACAAGCTGCTGAAGAAAGTGTTACATACCTCTGTCTCAGTTGGCCCTGTTTCAAGGAGGGTACGTAGTAATAGTGTCTCCTTGATTATGGAACATGTAGATGGTATCATGAGCTTTCGTGGGCACAGCCCACTTCTTCAGATGACCGGTCTGAAAAAGTGGGCTGTGCCCACAAAAGCTCATGATACCATCTGCATGTTTTGTTAGTCTATAAAGTGCTATCAGACCATTTGTTGTTTTTTAAGTTTATCCTGTACAGACTAACTTGACTCCTCCCTGAAGCTCCTTGATTATGGTTGCTCACCTTCACCAATAAGAATTTAGTGGTATAGATGGCCAGAGTCAAAGAAAATGAAGGCCGAACATAATGGTATCACACTCCAGAACCGTGTGCTTCAGTGATGGGATACATTTGGGCAAAGGCTGGTGACAATCACTTGAGTTATAGCCAAAGTACAGGTTGATCTTTCAGATTAGGTGATTGTCCTGGTCAAATCCTTTCTACAGTACCTTAAAAGGTAAGTGCACGAGAGTGTTGATGTGTCCTGTCATCAGGTTTGGGCAGCATTTGATGTAGTTAATACAGTAATGAGATCTATTATCTTAATAGTGACTCCCACCAGGTATGGGTGGCTGTAGTTTCCTCCCTGTAGCTGCAGAGAAAAACCTAAAGACTTGTCTTACTCATGAGACAGCTTGTTTTGAGCTGCAGGCTTTACAGAAGTTTAAAGAGACTGAAATGAACACCCTGTTCTCCTGGGTATCCTAGCTCTTAAGTCCTCTCCACAGGGAGGAAAGGGAAAAGTTCCTCTGCTTAGAAACCTTGTGACTTGTGCCTTGATACTTGATTTCAAGGGAGGTGAATGCCACTCTGCTCAGGATTCTCATTCATACAGCAGAAACCAAACCCTTTTCAGTATGTACCCCAAAATAAAGGGGTTTTGATATGTGCTGTGGTGTATAAGAGACAGAAGGTGGGTGAGGTAATTTCTTTTATTGGACAGACTTCTGTTGGTGAGAGAGAAACACTTTCAAGCTTATACAGAGCTGCTCTTTTGGTATTCTTCACACACAAAAAAAGAGAAAAAACAACAACATTTGACTCAGTAGAGTTTAACTCTCTACTCAGTGTGCTCAATGGACTCAACCTGAGAGTCGTTGACCTGCTGAAATAAATTAACTACAATTCTTTCACAGAGATAACATTATTCAATGTCCCATGTGTCATTATTACATGCAGAGGAGTTCACTGAAATTGCCTGGGTAGAAGCTTTAGAACTTGCAGATCTCTACTTAGGGATATTCAAATGCAAAGAAAGTAAAAGAAGATTTACCGTATATATGGAACTACCAAATTCAGCCCATTTTAGTCAGTTTCACAGTAAAAGGATTTTAACAATAATAATTCCATTATTTCAGTTATTTAAATCTGAAATTTCACTGTTGTAACTGTAGGGGTCGAGACAAAAAAAAAAAAGTGGGGGGTGTTGCAAAGTTATGGGGAGGTGGAGGGCAGCAGGAGGGAAGGGAGGCTGCAGTACTGCTACTCTTACTTCTGCATTGGTGTTGCTGGTGGCACTGCATTAAGATCTGGCCAGTTGGAGAGTGGTGGCTGCTGGCTGGGAGTCCATCTCTGAAGGCAGAGCCTGTGCAAGCAGCAGAGCAAATGTAAGGATGGCATAGGATGGCATAGCCACCTTTACTTCTGTTCTGCTGCTAGAGGGATGCTGCCTTCAGAGCTGGGCATCTGGCCAATAGCCGTTGCTCTCTGGCTGTCCAGCTCTGCAGGCCGCTCAGAAGTAAGGGTAGCAATACTTAGGGAGGTCAGATTTCACAGTCCATGACACATTTTCATGGTCTTGAATTTGGTAGGGCCCTAGCCATTGGAGAATTATACCACTAATTTTGTGTCTTGCTGTTTGGCAGGGCCCTCCTTAGGATAGTGTGGAGCCTGGGAAAAAAAACCCGCTGCAGGCTCCCCCCTGCCCTGCCCCTGCTCCACCTGTGGAACAAGGGTTCCTGCTGCCACAGAGAAGCTGAGTGAAGAGGGTTAGGAAAGCGTGCTAGGGCAGGGCAGAGCAGATGGGGGGCAGGGCAGGGACTTCAACAGGAGAGTTGTCCCAGGCCCCATACTGCTCTATGGATGGCCCTGCCAAAAGGCAAGATGCAAAATGAGTATGAGTGCAGGTGTGGAGTGACACTTGCTGCCACCCCATACCAAGCCCATGGTAATCTTTTGGGTCTTATCCATAGGACAGTTGAGGCAAGCATCAATGCTTCATGTTTTAATGCTTCAGGGTTCAGCTTCCTTGGCTGATCAGAGACACCAGTGGGGTGACAGTAAGTGAAAAGATAATTTACTGAATTCCCAACTTGTCCTGAGTTGACAATTGAAGTATACAGGAAACATGGGCTAAGACCTCCATTTTCACTGCTGTAAGGCAGGCTCCAGAATGCTAAGAATGTAGGAAGTTCCCACTTTCTTGTACAGGGCCCAAGAATAAGAATCCTGCATGGATGTGCTCGTCAGAGAAAAAATAATTACAAGGTGAGTAATTATCTCTTTGTATGGAGGGGAAAGTGAAGCCCCTTAACTTTTAAATCCATTGTAATTTTCTATAATTATAAAAGATTATTACCTTTCTTTGCCAACTAGGAATATATTATTATAATAATTGTTGGTATCCAGTAATTTTTTCATAAAGTACCTGTTTGTGATTTGAAGTGAAATTAGTTTTCTTTAATGAATTTTTTTTCCAATTAAAGTGGCATCTTCATGTATATTTTAATGTATAACTGGAGCTGTTATACAGTAAGACTTTGCTTTAAGTGCCATTATGCATGGAGTCTCTGTGACAGATTTTTACTGGGCCCTTTGAGGTCCTCTGCAGAAGATGCCATGTTTCTATCACATCCTACCCTAGAAAAAAATCAGTAAAGGTAGGTCCTCCAGGGCTTCCTAGAAAGACTGCATAGAAGCAGCCAATCAGAACTCAGCAAGTTCAGTTATAGGGAGGTGCAGAGTCTGAGCAGGTCTGTTTCTAGCTGAAGCTTTGGGGTAATAAGGAGAAAGAGTATTCATGGAGAAAGCCCTAGGCTTCTATAGCACAGCAGGCATGGACCTGAAACTAGCTCAGAAGGAGATGAGGACTGAACTCAGACAGGGGACTAAAAATTTGAACAAAAGCACAAAGACAGGCTCTGTTGGACCTCCTAGAATGGCAGGGATGGAGAGGGGAAAATTGTGACTGGCTGGGTCACAAAGATCACCTTGAGACTGTTGCCTGATGGGTTGATCATACCTCTGAGCCTGCCTTCCTGCCTTCTAGGGTTCCCCACCACCATATCCTGCTGAGCCCAAAGCACTGGTCTCCCCCAACAAAGGCATTAAGTTGGGGTTACAGCTCACAACAGAGCATCACAAACATTGAGAACAGTTCAGTTCTGGGAAGGCTCCGTCACAGGCACTTGACACAGCACCCCCGTCCACAGCCCCAATGGGACCACATCCCAGATAAATCCAGCTTACCCTGCATAAAAGCTTTGCACAGAACAAATTCAGAAAGTTTGTGCCCTTTATTAGTGAAAGATAGATAAGTACAGCTGTTGTTTCCTTCAGGTAATCATTATTTACACAAGATTTAATAATAAACAAAAGTGATTTTGTTAAATATAAAAAGTAGGATTGAAGTGGTTGCAAGTGATAACATACAGATCAAAATAATTTTCTAAGCTAAAATAAAACAAAACACCCCAGCTAAGCATAATATATTAAGAGAAGTTACAAATAATAATTTCTCACCCTAATTCTTATTTCAGGAGAAATCTTTTCCAGACCAGAGCTTTTCTTTCTGTCATTGGTCCCTCTCTATCCCTGGCATTAGCGTTCTTTTGTTTTCAAATCTTTTCATGTACTCTTGGGGTAGGGAGTGGTCTGTAAAACCAGCTGAAAACATAATAGTTTGCTTCTCATTCCTTATATAAAATTTCCCTGGGGGCAGGAAGCGTTTGTTCAATTTCCCACCTCATGTGGAAAAGTACAAAATTCAAGATGGATTCCAGCA